CACTGTGCCCAGCACACAGCGAATAACGCATCAAGAACAGTGCTGCTGTGTGCTCACCCAGCCACTACTCAGCACTTCATCCGTAAACGGGAATAATCAGTTATTAGCAGAATTATATGTACTGGGGCACCTGGTGGTGCAGTCGGTTAAGTGTCCAACTCTTGATTTTGGCTCAGGTCGTGATCTCAGGGTTGTGAGACTGAGCCCCGGGTAGGGCTCCATGCTCAGTGGGGAGTCTGCTTCTCTAACTCTCCCTCTTCCTCTCCCCCTCCCTCCGCTCATGCTCTGTCTCTCAAATAAATAAATAAATCTTTAGAAAACAAAACAAAACAAAAAACACAAACAAAAAAGAATTATATGTATTGAAACAGGTAAAGTGCTTGGCACAGGATCTAGCACATGGTAAAAGCGGATTATTACCACCATCCTTGAATGCCTTTGTGCTGGGGCAGATTGTTCCAGACCAGGAAGTCACCAGGGGCTGTCCAGTCCCTTTGTCTGCACTAGGGGCCCCTGAGCACGAACCCCTGCTGTCATTGTGGCTGCCTCCATTTTCAACACCCCAGCAGCAGCCCCAACCCCAGCTCCACAGCTTCAGGAAAGCCAAGAGCTTACTTCTCTGAAACATGGGGTGGTCCCGCTTTAAGAAAACTCACTCTAGAAACCAAAAATCAAAAATCAAAAAAAAAAAAAAGGAAAGAAAAAAAGAACTATTTATAGTGTGTTAGCAATAGAATCTGTATCATAAGGTCATGGTTTTTTATTTGCCGATGAATAAACCAATCAATCCGCCATCACTTCGGCTGCTTGGGTCACTAACGACTCACCTCACCCCATTAAAACAAAATCCCACTTAAAAGAATGAAGGAGGAAAGGTAAACTCAGAACACTGCATTGTGCAGCCCTGAATGAATGGACGGATCCACGTGCATCCTCAGTGGCTAACTGGCATCATTAAGAGAGAGCCAGACAGATGTGCGCCTCCTGATGGAAGAACATAGAATCACATATGCATGCTTGTCCCCCAAAAAGAAAAGAGGAGCACCTGGGTGGCTCAGTTGGTTAAGTGTCTGCCTTTGGCTCAGGTCATGATCCTGGGGTCCTGGGATCGAGACCCCCGTCAGTCTCCCTCCTTAGCAGGGAGTCTGTTTCTCCCTTTCCCTCTGCCCTTTCCCCCTACTCATGCGTGTACACACATGCGCGTTTTCGCTCTAATAAATAAAATCTTCAAAAAAAATAAAATAAAAACCCCCAAACCTATATCTGATCAAGCTGCTAGATTTACTTAATTTACAGGAAATACGAAGAGCAGAAAACAATGTTGAAATACACTAAACACACACAATCGACAAAAACCCCAACGGTGAGAAACTCGGCAGGACCTGGGACCCAGTTTCCTCCAATAAAGAGCAAGAGAAAAATAAAGAGGAGGAGAGAATCTTACAGATTGAAAGAGACTTAAAGACTCAATCACCAACTGCAATGTGTGGGCTTAATCTGGATCCTGGATAAAACAAAGTGGAAATAAAGGTATCGATAATATTTGTGATTCAACCAGAAATTTGAACACTGGATATTGGATGTTATTAAAGAGTCATTGGATGTTTTAAAAAAGAGTTATCTCTTAAATCGAGCAATACATTTAATGTTTATGGCTGAATTGATATGCTATCTGGGGAAGTCAAAGGAGGGAGGTGCCAGTGGCCGTGGGTGGGGCCGGCCTGACCACGACGGAGCCCGCTGGTACCAGGTGCCTGGAGTCACTGTGCTATTCTCATCTCCTTTGTGTGTGTTCCAAACCCTCCAAAATAAAAAGTTCATAAAGAAAGGCCACTCCTAACATTTCAGTTTGCCCAGCCACACGTCTGGAGTCTGTCTTCTGTATCCCCAGGGCCAGCAGGCTAGGATGTGTTATTCCTGGTTCTGGCCTCTTCTCTGCATCTTCCACCTACAGAAGGGGCAAGCCTAGTCTCTTGGGTCAAGGAATGAGTTTCCCGAGGCCTCAGGGCCTGGCAATACTGGAGACTGGAAAATAATTGGATAGGTGAATTCTCTGATACACACTACACACCAAAATCTCATCTTAGGTGAAAGATACGTTAACCAGCAGCTATTCACATTTCAAAAGCTTTGATTGATTTAAAATATAGCAAACATTTTTTTTAAAATGGCCTGATTTACAAAAGTTGGCAAGCCCTTAAGATTCCATCTGATGCACGAGTCAGGTGAGGTTTGCTGACTGGTCCCCGAGAGGTGCACCTGCTGTTAACACCTAATAACTTAACTGCACGGGAGAAATCTGAGCAACACCCTGACCCTGAGGGACCACAAGCAACTGAAGGCTCCCTCTCCCACTCTCAGGCTTGTTTCTGGATCTTCACCTGCCCACCCTCCCCCTCCCACCTTGGTCAAAGCCACCAATGGTGGCTCTCAGACACCGAGTTCCCAGAGAAGTTGCCGCATGGTGAAAGCCACAGGAGCCTGTGTGGAATTTCCTCTCTAGGCGGCATCCCCAATGGCCTTACCCAATCTGGATGACAGGGCAGCCTCCTGACTTTGTACCTCCCACCAGCAGAAATCCACAGCGAGAAGGCTTGTCCAGGCCCTTGGAGCCACCCACCCATGCAACTGGATACATACACTTTGTAAGCACTGGTTTCCAACAGATAAATGTAATCAAGGTTTATATGCTCAGAGAAGCCAACAGGATGGGATTGTTTCACTTGAAAGATCAGAAGAAAATTGTAACTAATGTTGTGGAAAATTACTTTGATATTGCTTTCTTGGTACCGAATCACAATTAGGCTGCTGTGAGAAGTACAGGGAAAGAATAAATGAATAGTAACAAATCAACACAAACAGCCTGTGTCAGGAACACTTTGCTAAGGGAAAGTAACATAAGCATTACTTAAAGTTTTATGACTGTGTTCGATGTGATTTACGTAGAACGTCAAGGTTGCCCAAACCCGGCCACGTGGCGAAGGGGGTCCAGCTCCATTTACAGCCAGAAGAACACGGCTCAAGCCTCAAACGTGCCCATCGCACGCGTCGGCCAGGCCCACGCCATCCCCACTGCAGGGGGCTTCGTGTCATCCTCTACGCCCTTCGCAGGCTCGGAGCTCCTTCCCCAGCTTGCCACTCCATCCTGGAAATCCCAGCCGTCCTGTGGGGTCTGGCCCTACTGGTAATGGAAAAGATCTACATGCGCATGCGCAGGGGCAGCTGGGCAGGGGCGCATGCGCAGGGGCAGCTGGGCAGGGGCGCATGCGCAGGGGCAGCTGGGCAGGGGTGCATGCGCAGAGGCAACCGGCTAGAGTGAGGGGCAGGCAGACAGGAAGCGCGAGCAATCTGCTGTGCTGGCTGACTGCGGCATGGCGGGGCGCACGTCCTGGCCTTCAGGTCCCAACTCTACCCACATATATAGCATCTATCCCTGCAGTGTACCACGGATGAGTGCATGGCCCCCGCCCAGACAGACACAAACTCCTGCCTTCTCTCCCAGGCTCGTCCCACGGAACGCAGACCCTGGACACAAGGACCCTCTGCCCATGGCGTGCACCTCAGCCACACACACACACACACACACCAAAATGGGCACCAAAGATCCATGGGTCACCCTGAGGATACACCATTCACCCCAAGCCACATGTAAGGGCCCTTGTTCAGGACCTCATTTCCACACAGACACTGCACACGTGGGGGGTGGGCAATCTCAGGCCGCCTGACAGCCCTACCCTACGGGGCCCAGCCACTCTAAAGCTCACATGGGGCTGCAAGTCCTCACAGAGGAGCCAGCTCAGTCACATATCCTTGCTTCTCCAGAAGCCAGGGAGTAGCCAGACCCACCTCTGACAGCCACTACCCCTGAGGGCCTGGCCCAGGCGGCCCAGGCGTGAGTCAGTACCAGTGACTCCCCTGTTGTCTCCTGGGGTCCCACCACCTGGCTGCCTCTTGCTGATTCTTGATGAAAGAATGAACTCATTGGCCTCCCCGCCCAGGGCCTCTGGTAGGAGCTGCCAGGCCAACGGTCCTCATTCTAGCCTCCTGGTGCTCCTTCCAACTTTCTACCTGATGCCTCCAGGCCTTCAGTCTATGCGTGGGATGACTGAGCCAGCCAGAGCCGAGGGTGGGGCTGGGGAGGGGGCTGCAGGCCCAAGTACCCGGGGTCCCCTCCCTGAGGGCCAGGTGCCTTACGCTGGGCCCTGCTCTTCTGTAGGACGGTACAGGAATCTCTCTCCCTAAACCCACAGCCTCTACTCCTCCATATTGTCCGTGTCCTGGAGCTCATGGCTGTCTTCACAGACTTCCCCGCTAAAAGCCCCCAGGCCCACCGCTGAGAGATGAGTGGGGGCTGTGTCTCAGCAGCAGGCATTCTGCCTGAGCGCCCCCTCTCCATATTCTGCCTGCCTGAGGCTCCAGAACCGTCCTTCCCACTTTCCCCTTGCTGGATCCCACCTGTCCTCAGCAGATCTCTGCAAGTCAGGAAGGGTGCTCCCCTCCGTGGCTCACAAGGGACACATGGGATACAGGCAGCAGGTGGGGGCCAGCAGGAGCAATCTCAGCTTCGCAGAGACAGGAGGTACCTTGACCCCCTCTGCCCAGGCCAGAGGGCCTGGATTCGAGGGGTCCCAGGGCTGGCAGAGAAGCAGAGTCCCATGGCGGGGGGGCGTGGGCTCAAGGAGAAGTCATTCACCCTCTGATACCCCAGACCATGTGGGAGAGGCCCCACGAGACGGCAGAATCCTCCTTAAGTCTCAGCTTCACCAAAGGCAACAAGTGGATGAGAGCCTGGCTATCATTTCAAGAGGCAGGCATGGGCCAGAGACCACAGGCTAGAGGTCAGAGGCCAGAGGCTGATGCCCACCAGGAGAAGGCCAGGCCCCCTCCTCTGCCTGCCGAGGCTCTCGGCACAGACTCGGCACCGGGGCAGCCACGGAGGCCTGCACTTCGGACTGGAAAGCCGTGGCAAGCGGGCAGCAGGGCCGAGCGCAAGGGCTCACCTGGCAGCTGTCGAGGGGCGAGCTCCGTGGGGTCCTGCAGGCTGATGAAGAGGAGGAGGCCTGCGGCTCCAAACAGCAGGACGGATGAGAACATGCAGGCTAGCCGCATGGTTCCGGCTCGCGGGGTCATCCGGGGCTTGCTCCGGGGTCACCTCTTGGGTGTGGGAGGTGCGTTCTTCCCTCATCATCCACACCAAGCATCCATCAGGCCACGGTCTGCAGGGCAGATGGGGAGAAAGGGGGTCCATCACCGAGGCACACAACATCCTGTGTGGGCTGAGGCCCCAGTCACTGCCTGCGACCAAGCATAATCCCCGATCCCTCCATCCTCTAGAACTTACTCAGGTATGTCCCTTCAACCTTTCCAAGCCCAAGGAGGCTGAGGGAAGTCTAGTCAACACCTGTAGCTGGGACACCAGCTTCCCAGCAGGGGCTCCTCTATTTGCACCCCCAGAAAAACCATGGAGACAAACACTCTCTGGACTCTGCCTGGGGGAGCCCAAGGTGGAGCCCCAGAGACCCACAGCCAGTAACAGCCCCTGCACTGTCCAGGCCCTCCGAGCTTCCGGAAGAACTGGTGTGCTCCCTATAGGGGGCCTAGGTACAGGCCCAGCAATTTGGGTCCTTGTCCCTTACAACTGGCCTGGTGGACAGAGAAGTTCTTGGATCCCTCTGCCCTGGCTCCTCTCTACAGGATGTTGGGGACAAGTGTCTCCACAGAGCAAGATGCTTTGGGAAGGAGTCTCCTAGGCCCAGTGGCTACCAGGGACAGAGAATCCCCCACCTGCTGGCTCCTCTCTCCAGCCAGAGCTGTGTCTCCCTGACAGATGGGTGGGCTAGCGGAGACCCCACTGGCTAGTCAGCTGCATCAGGGGGAACAGAAGCTCTGGCCTATTCCCACTCTTGAGGACCTCAGGCTTGGACGGAGGTAGCCAGACCTGCGTTTGACAGATTCCAGGCTGAGGCTGGTGACAGCATCCCTTGTGTTCCTGTGGATGGACACCTGTTGCTCTGGTCACTGCCGCCCCAGAGCATGCCCAGGTGACTTGCCCCTCACCCTGGTTCCTCCTGAAGGGCAGAGCAAGAAATGCCAAATACCCCAAATACCAATGAGTGACTCCAGCTGGGCCAAGCTGTGGGTCAAGATGGGGGCACCCCGAGGCCATTTGCTCATAGGAAGGATGTAAGTTCCTACAGTGGGATGAGGCATGGGTGGAATGGGACAGGCGCTAAAGAGGGATCTACACAGCTAGACTCCAGGAGGCCAGGGACTCCAGAACTTCCCCTTTTAGAGGAAGGCTGCTCTGTCCCCTTGGCTTCACCCATTCCTACTAGTCCGGGCGCAGAGATACCACCCTCTCTCTACCCAAAAGGCCTTGCGGGAGCTTCCCCAGCCCTGACATAGGACAGCACTGAGGGAGGCTGAGGCCAGGTGGGCAGCTTCCAGTAGCCTCTGAGATCACAGGTGGGTGGCTGGGGCCCCAGATCAGACGCGCTGCTTGGCACAAGGCCATTTCCCTGCCTGGGGTCTCCTTGGGCACAGTACTTTGGTCGGGGAACCCATTCCTGACCAGGCACCCAGGCGGTGGGGGAGGAAGCCCCAGCTCCCCTCCCTCTGTGTCCTCATGCTCCTGGGGGCATGAGGAAGGAAGTGGTAAGATGCGTCCTTCCCTCCCCAGCCCAGACAAAAATTCCCAAGGTCTAGACTGTTCGCAGCAAAGCTCTGGGGCTGAAGAGTGTTAAGTTGCAGGTTTGGGTTTCTCCCCTCTGCAGTCTCTGTAATTATGTTTTCACTCAGTTAACTTGAATTAACCTGCCCCAAGCCTCTATGCATGGGAACACGCCTGAGCACAGGGTTCTCTGGGTTGTGCTGAGCAGGTGGTTCCTACGACCTCCCAGCTTTTATGTTTGGGAGGCAGCACGGAGCAGGGCTGTTTTGTCTCGAGCTGGCTCAGTTTGCCATCGGCCCCGACCTCACTGCAACGGCCCCCGCCCCAAGAAAGACAGCTGTTCCTGCCATTGCCAGGGACACCCCTGCACGAGGCTTGCAGTGGGTAAAAATAGGCAGCTGCGTGTCCCCAAAGGCTTAGACCCTGAAGTCTCTCGTGGGGCCCTGTGGCTTCTACCTCCTCTTGAACGTGCCCTCCTCTTGAACGCACCTCCCACACCCCACCATGGCTGCCCGGGATGGGACTGTCCTGGGGGCCTGGCTCATCATCCTGCAAAGACACAGACACAGTGGTGCAGGCACCAGGCCCCACTGAAGGACAAGGTCACTCTCAACACTGTGTCCTTTGGTCTCCCAAGCCCTTCCCTCCATGATGACAGGAGTTGTGTGCAGGGGCTGCCAGGACCAGTCTCGAGGTCTGAGGGAAGGTGCGGGGGGGTGGGCACAGAGGTCCTCCTGCCCCAAAGCAGTTGGCTTAACTCCCAGGGGTGCCCAGACAATCACGGAAAGGAGTCAGGAGAGTGGAAAGAGTGTCACGTACATGGATTCAGCAGGGACGAGACCCTCAGATAGGGAGCAGGGAAGGCAGCTCGGGGCCCTTCCCGAGCAGATGCACAGGCTCTAACATGCATACACACACGTATGCACACACAGCACACACATACCATCGACAGTCCCCAGCAAGGCCCCAGCTGTAAAGAAAGTACCACAAAGCCCTGATATGCGGGCTGTGGTGGTCGCATGCTGCCTACAGCCTCACCGGCCTCCTGGGTCAGACATGAGGCCAGCAGGCCAATCTGACCTAGGGTGACGGAAAGAGAGAGGAAGGAGGGGAAAGAGAGCAGCAAGTTTATGGCTACGGCCCACCGCTGTCCAGTAAAACAGCTAATAAAGTGCCACCTGATCTCGGCCCAAAGGCTCTATTGGATGAAAAAAACAGGGGGGCTCAGAAGCACGTGCAATCCAGTCCCCTCCTCTCCACTGTCACCATCCAAGCCAGTACAGACTTCCCCTGTCCTGCAGCAATGACCAGTCCTCACTTGCTTCTGAACCTACCCCAAACCCAACCCCCCAGGTGCAGCCAGGCTCCATTAGCCCTCGTGCCTGGGAGCCAGGATGAGGACCACATCCTTGCCCCCACATCTGGGGCGGGGGCAGAGGGAGAAAACCAGCCCTAGGACCTGCACCTTCACTGCAGTAGGAGCATCAACCATTTAAGTGTCTGGTCTCAGAGACACTCCTTTTTGTTGACCCCCAAGAGAACAGCACCGTCTCCATTCTCCATGTCCAGGGAAGCTGGTGTTAGAGTCCTGCGTGGCTCTCCCTGACCCTCCTAAGTATCAGACCCCAGCCTTCCCCTCAGACGCCCCCCGCTCAGTGTTTGTTCTCACTGCAGACCATCTAACCAGCCAACTCCCTGCTATGTGCAAATGGAATCAAAAGGTAAGCGTGCCTCCCGTCCTGGGTAACTGGCTTGCAGTCTGGCTGGGTTCCCCTCAGGAGGGGGCCAACATCACAGAACCCGTAGGAACCTCCTTCCTTTAAAGGTGGAGGGTAGATAAGAGATCACCCGACACTCCAGGGAGTGTGTGTATCTGATCCCCTATTGTTCCCGTGAGGGTCCCTGTATTCAAAGTCACATGTTATTTTCAAGGCAACAGGGAGATGCTGGTCCAAAGGCTGCCTGTCTCTGTCTCCTGGGAGTCGAGCTGCTGCCCGGGGAGTGGACTCTATGATCTGTCACAGGCCAGGGCCAGGCTGCCCAGGGCCCCGTAAACACACTCATGGGCCTCTGCTCCCACTTGGGACTGTTGCATCCTCACTGCATGCTGCATCACACTCGGCTCCACTGACAAGAGGGGGCCCCCCCTTGCCTCCCTGCCTCCCTTCCAGGACCAACAGGCAATATGAAAATTCAAATAACCAGGGGCCGAGCCAGGAGGAGTAAGGCAACAAAAATAAACAGCCCACTTAGTTTCCAGAAGGTCCTGTCCTCACAAGCCCTAGTTTTCCCAGTGGCTTGCTCTCCCTGAGGCCTGAATGGTATCACCAATTTTTTACTGTAAGAAAAAAAAAATGCAATTAATCTTGTAAACACCTCCTGGGACACAGGTCAGAGCCAAGGATTCCTCCCATTTTCTTATTTATCTGATTTAAAAATTTGTCTCTTGGGAAAATTCACTTTAGGGCACAAAGCAAGGACTTGGGAATTCAGCCAAAACGCACGCACCTCCAGTGGCGACAGGCCGGCAGGCGGATGGACGGATGGCTCCAAGGTCACACTTGGCTGCAGCTGCTGCAAGGCCTGGATGCTTCCCCCCAATCACCCAGAGGACCCCTCTGGCTGTGAGGACCCACTCCCATGCCCCACTGGAGGCAGCTGGAGGCATCCGGCCATGTGCCCATGGGAGCACCCACTTGGCGTGTGGACCCCGGGCCCCAGAAAGTTCTCTGTCCAGCCAGTCTCCTCCTTGCACGGGCAGGAGCGAACAATGACGTCCCTCCCGGCTGAGGGCTCCAGGAGGAGCTGCTCATCGGGAGAGAGGCTGCTATGGCAACTTGAGGAGAATGGAGCCAGGCACTGCCGTCACCTTGAATCCGGCACCAAGCATTCCACCGTGGCGGCAGAGGGGGCTGCACCTCTGCTCAGCCCCTGCCGAGGCTCCTGCGATGGCGCTGACCTCCTGCCTTCCCTGCTCAGCCTCCTGGCCTCAGTAACTCATTTACTCCTCACTGAAATGGAGCACACAGCCCGGTCCCCCGAGAACACCACCTCCATCTGTTTTGTCAGACGAGTTCTTCCGTGTGTCTGGCTCCTGCTTGCTTCTGAGATGGGGTTCTTCTTGATTTCAGCTCATTAAAATCTTGCAGCTAATTAAAACTGGTTCTAACAGCGGCGGCGGCGGCAGCAAACTCTGGGATGAGTCCCTCCAGTTTTTATGCGTAGGCATAAAGTTGCAGTGCTCTGCGAGGGTGACAAATGGCTGCAAGTGCTCACTGAGGCAGGGCTGCAGCCTCCTGCCCTGCGCGATGTGGGAGAGCGCTGACCTGGGTCCTGAAATGCCCAGGGCCCAGCCTCAGCACACCCTAGCCAGCATGGGTACGCCCTACCTGCCATACTCCTCCCCATTACAAGGCAGGGACTCCCTCCAATTCCCCATGCTTTCTGCTGGGTGGGAGAA